AATTAGACAAAATGGCTTTTAACTATATGAAGAATAAAATTATAAGTATTCAAATTCTCTTTCTTATTCTTATTGTAATTCTTTATAAATATAGATCAAACTTTTTTTACAAAAAAAATAAAGAAGAATACCTTATTAGAATAATAAATAAACAAATTGTAACTCAATTAAGTCCAATAATAAAGACTTCTAATAAACAATAAAAATCTATGTTCATTAAATTTACTTACCTTGTAATAACCCTCAAGGTTTGCCTTAGATCTTGCCAAATCAATTCTGCCTTGCCTTTATCTTAAGTAACAGTATATAATATCAAAAAATTTTAAGTGACAATTTATTGCATTTTTGCCTTCTCTGTTGAAATAGCCCTAGCAGTACTATCTGTAATACTACTATATATATACTCTTTTTATTAAGTTTTTAGTGTTTTTATTGTGTTTTTATTAAGTTTTTTTTTGAGTTTTTATTGTATTTTCTCTTTTTCTTTCTTATTTCCTATATTTTATATTCTATATTTTGAATTATTTTGAGTTTATATTTTTTGAGTTTATTTTTTTTGAGTTATTTTTAAGTTTATTTAAGTTTTATCTTTAGTATATAGATATTTTTACTCTTTTTATATTAAGTTAAATAGTATAGTTAACAAGGCTATCTATACTACAATATTATTTGCTAACTAGCTTAGAGTTTATTACTTATTACAGAATAGCATTTGTTGTTTAGAAATAGTTTTTATATATTATTTGTTAACAAACTTAAAGTTTATTACTTATTATTATAAAAAACTATTAATACTTTAGTTAGAGTATATATTTGTTTTGGCAGAAAAATAATATTCTTTAAGAAAAGATATGAGTGATTCCTTTATATTATTTTTCTTTGTCCTTCTGCTAGTTTTTTAAAATTCTTGATAAAAAAATAAAAATTTGATTTATCTTCTTTAAAAAATTAGCATTATTTACTTTTCAAATTCAGATAAACTTAGTAAAATTCAATTATATAATATATTTGTTTATAGATATAGTTATAATGCTACTTTATATAATATTGCTTTAATTAATGATTAAAAGATATTTAAAGTTAGTTATATAGTCAAAAGAAAATATAGATTAAGGCAAAGCTTTATTAGTTAGGGAATATATCATATAAATATACTAAATCTTTTAAATCAACTTCAAGCATATATCTAATTTTTGTATTAGATACAATACTTTGAATATCTGATATTTTCTCTGAACCTACCTTATTTAAAATCACTATAGGCATATATTTATCATTGCAAAAATAAAAACTAGCTCAAAACAACAAAAATTTATAGCAAATCAAAAATGATATATTTTATCAATTATAGTAGCTTTATAAATATTTTTTTTTTAATATTAAAGATGAGACCAGCTTCATAAATATTAATATACTATAAATTAGAATATTTAATAATAATTAGAATTTAATTAAGGGAACAGGTATTTCCACACTCTTGTAAATTATACAATACAATACTATGATGTGCAATTCACTGGATCAAAAATTGAGTAGCTATAATACAACTTCGTTAAACATCAGGGAATTTTTAAATTGGTTTGCAATCGAAATGTCAATCGATAAGCAGCACCCCTGTCGATTACCAGCGATGCTGATTAGAGTCGATTGACAACAAAGCTGCTAATTAAAATCGATTAGAATCGTTTTGGTTGAAATCGATTGATATCAAAACTAAATTAATATCGATTATTTTTTAATCGATTGTGCATCGATTAGCTACCAATATCGATTATTCTAATCGATGGCAATTGCCTCTGCAGCTGGTAATCGATATCCACCCTATTTAAAAATTTCCTGATGAAATTTACTAACGTAAATAAAATATTACACTATTTTAATACGCATGCACGTGATCAAAGGGTGTGGAAATACCTGTTCCCTTAATTAATTATATAATTCAAAATAGACATTTTAAATATAATAAAATACTGTTTGCAAAATGAATTAATATAATATGTTATAATGTAATACTACCAAAAAAAATATCAAACATGCTATATACAGTATTTGATCTATATTTATTTAAAAAATATCATACTTTATTAATTAATACATTATTGTGAAGCGTTAACAAATTCTTTATAGATGAACAAGCAGCGAGCACAAAGTTGAATTCATATACAGTATATACAAAGAAATATTTCATTAATCTATAGTATATTATTAATCAATTTGGTATATTAGTAAAAAGAAAAAAGCTGAGGCGGAATTCGCAAAAGTCCTAACAAATCCTTATAGAGCTATAATCCCAAAAAGTTAACATTGCATTGGTATAATACAGGTCAATTTTGTAGTAGACCCGACCAGAATACGTATTACATTTACATCTGCCCTATTCAATAACTTCGGTTGATTTAATATATCTAAATTGAAAAAAATTGATTTAATTGCAATCTCTAATTTTCTTAAAACATCATCATAATCGACACATACCTCATCCAACACCTTAAAAATCTCTTTGGCATCAACCATAATGCTTTCGACTCTCAATCTTCCGATTTTTCTTGAATTCTTTTCACAAATTTCAATCCACCCATTAATACCACACTTACCATTCAAAAAAAATTTGTCTTTAAGAACTTCAGGTAATTCTAAATGTCCGAAAGATATTTGAGTCACACAGGTCTTTTTACCAATTCCCAGCGAACACGTAAATAATGACAACGTTCTATCATATGCTAGTGGATGTTTGAACTGCCATCCACTCTTATCATCAAAATAGATTTCGTAAGAATTTGTTTGGAAATGATAAATCGGAGCTTTAATGATTTGATATTTGTACATATCAAACTTTGAGAAGAAATAAAAAAGAAGGCCGGATTAATTAGAAGGAATATGTAAAATAGTATCAAAAAATTTGTTATTAATAAATACCGTGAGCAATAATCTTTTACCCAATATTGGCGTAGAAATATCATTTATGATTATTGGGATTAATTTGTTCCATTTTGTACAGACTCTGCGAAGTGATGCAAAGTATTCAAAGCTACATTTCCCACCAATTATCAATTCGAAAGTGTAAACACTTATACCAAATTACCATAATCTAAGAAAGCAAATCATCATCATACCATGTCTCGTCTAAAACCTCGGTCAAAATTTGAATTAAAATTTCGGTTGGTAAATTTTGTGCCATCTACTGATCGTTGTATAATACTTCTAAAATAAAAAGGTATTGCTTTTTATATTAATTACGTAATGAAATACTTCGTGAAACAATTTAAAATTTTCCCACTCACCAGAACCAATCTTGGCCTTTAACATATGATGATTAAACTAGTCAAGCGGCAAAGCCCAAAATTATTTTTCTCTTTCGTTTTTTTAAATCAAAACAATAATAATATTTGGTTATTCAAGGTCCGTGCAAATTTGTTTCTTTTTTAAGCAATAACGATAGGGAATTCACTATCTCTATCGCTACGAAATCCCGAAAATTACAGGATATATTACAGGATCTTTTTTTCTCAAAAAAAAAAAATCCGTTTATTACAAAAATTCTAAAAACTTGATTGAAACCTTTTTTTGTGTGTTTTACATTTACACAAGTTTCTCACTCGTTTAGGTTTTATATCAATTGTAACTTTTGAATATTGATAGGGATCTACATAATTCATGGAAATGCAATGCCCTAGCGCATCACCAAACTTGGCTAATTTTTAAGGCCAGTTATCTCATATGATTACCTAATTTAAACTTAGAATAGTGTCAGAGCTATGGAAAACTTCCTAGATATCATAAAAAAACTTTAGATTTTGGCCAGCATTGAAATTAAACAATAATTCAGGCTGTCATTTACTCAAGAGATGTGTGACTAATAAAAGCAACTTATTTATGGAAACAATTTCTTTTTCTATTTATTATCTACTGTATTCATTATCTTCCTCATTCACATATAGACTGATCCGATGAATGGTATTCGTTGATAAAATAATTTCACCAGATATATAACGATTTATTGATTAATTCATTTGATAATAAGCTCTTATCACTCCGAGCGTCATTTTGTGTTTAGTCAAAACTGATATAATAGTTACGATTTTGATTCTCTTTTACTGTATTTTACTATATTAAAATTGATGGTGTCAGTTTTTAACAAAACAACTATTATAACACGTGTGGACCGATACTAATTTATAATTAAAATTTTAAAACGTAACTATTGTATCACTGCCTACGTAGATCGAATACGTATCCTCCATTTGTTGTACTATTTGAACCTAGTTGCATAGCATTATGTGTCCGCAGACAGACGTGAATTTTCAAAATTACATTTTTTATGTGATATCCCTTTTGACATCAATTTTGTACAAAAGGACATTTAATTTCGTACAAAATGACATTTAATTTCAAAGTGACATCCGATTTCGTACAAAATGATATTTAAATTCGTACAAAGTGACATTCAAATCTGTACAAAATGACAATTAAAATAAGTTTAATTTGATCACAATATCTCGTGATATAGTGGTCCAATATAGAAGATTTTGGTACCATTCAAATCCTCTCGATGAGACGATTTGAATGATACCAAAATTTTCTACATTAGACTATTGTATCACGAGATATCGCGATTTAGTCAACCTTATTTTAATTGTCATTTTGTACAGATTTGAATGTCACTTTGTACAAATTTAAATGACATTTGTACAAAATTAAATGTCACTTTGTACGAAATTGAATGTTATTTTGTACGAAATTAAATGTCATTTTGTACGAAATTGATGTCAAAAGGGATAATATAAGAAAATTAAAGATTTAATCAGGAATGTAACTATTAATGTATCAAAAATGTAACTTTGTACTATGTCTAAACATTAAATGCTGGACTAGAGAAAGGCTAGCGGTTATAGCAGAGAAAATCTTGATCACACGCATTTGCATTATTATAAGCACTATTTCAAATTTTCATTTCAGCAATTATCAGTTATACTGCCAACACTATCAGCAAAGAACATCTTTCAATGTTCAGCAAGAGTAAATATTTTCAGAAGTAACTCTGAAAATAAAATACGAGGCTGAACCCATACAATAGTAATAGATGGAGGAAGAACATATCTTCCAAGAAGTATAGCAACCAACACACTTAAAGTTGGTGGAATTATTACATAAATAATTCGAAAAAAAAATGGGTTATTGTAAAAATAACCTATTCGAAGCATCTTTACCATAATCCCAACAAATTGAACAGCAAACACGATATATACCATTTAATATTATCACAAATAATTGAATTTTAGATCATTGTCTTCGTGAAAAAGATTGATTCCAATATTGACAAAAATAATGAATCCAACTTGAAGATAGTCAATATTAAGAAGCTAGAAAGGAAAACAACATTCGATATAACGAAAGAACTAATTTATTTTAGCGAGAAGTCTCAAATAATAGTATAAAAAACCATGAAAAATTGACAACTTTTGTAAGTTATACATACTCCTCTGTTACGCTCACTACGAATTCCTTTCAAATATACAGCTTTTAGTTCATTATTACGCAAATTATTACACTCTTCTGCCGTGAAAGAGATTTATATACATATTGCAGTTCTGCATCAACTACACAAATATTTGTTGTTTTCAATATATTTTTATTAAAATAAAAGACTGCTAACTTCCTTACTTTCGTTGGTTTGGTTAATTTCATCATGTTCACTCATAAGAAATTTTTGCGATAAAAAAATTATCAGTGTTGGACGACGCCAATTTTTTCATATCACTATGTCATATGATATAGAATTATGCCATATATATGTCATATTATTATTAATCAGATTAGAACATTAGTTGGATAAATGTGATTCCATTACGATTAGTATCTGGTATGATATATGTTAAAATAAGTTTTATCATGTACGTATAAGCCTAAAACATATAGTGATGTTAAAATGTTTAGTCGGCATCACTAGTTACCATTGTTGGACGATGATGTCATATAAAGTATATATATTTCATATATATATATTTATATACGTACGTACGTACGTATATTACAGTAATTGTCCAGAAGACAAACAAAAATACTGGCAAGATAAAATTGATAATCGAAATAATAATTATCAAAGAACTTAAATACAAAAACCAACATCACAATTCAACGCATTCAGCATCGCCAATGAACACACTCAAAATCTGGTCTATGACTACAGGACTACACCATTAAGTCCTTGCTACGCTTCGGACAATAATAACAAACATTCATATTTGAGTGCCGCCAAGGGAAAACCTACAAGTCGCACTTTTTGAATATTAACTTTTAATAAAAATATCTTAAAATCAGGGAATTTAGTTCTTAATATTATTTGAATCGTCTCATTAAGATGATTCAAATGATATTAAATTATAGGTATTAAATTGCCTGATTTTAAGATATTTTTATTAAAAGTAAATGTACAAAATGTACAACTTGTAGGTTTTCCTTGGCGGCACTCATATAAAATCGCATAGATTACCAATATAACTCTAATCGATAAACGATAGCTAATATTTGAGATCAGGCGGAATTTTTCTTATATTTCCTTATTATCTGGACTTAGGTTGTGAATAAAATAAATAAATTACCGGTATTGTTATGGGATGAAATGAAAAGTTAAAATTAACTTTAATTTATGATTTATAACCCGTGGATTGTTTCTTTACAAAGGCGAAACTACAACTATTTTATAACTTTTACACTTAGCATGGGGCGGAAGGGCTTTTAATAAATTTCTCTATTATTCTCACAGCCCAAACCTTTAAAGATTTTACGGGCTCTCCCAACACTCACTCCTTCTCTACAGCATCCCGTGGAACTTTTATCTGCGAACCTCGTGCCCATATCACAACCACCAGAACTAGTGTTGTAAGCCATATGACTTTAGTCGGCTGGCTAAGCCAGCCGACTAAAACATCGGCTAAGCGGCTAGCTAACAACAAAATTTCTCAAAAGTCTCTACAGTCACGCCCTCGGTTCCAAGAAATTCTGTGCTTATAAGCAATTGTGTCTGTATAGAGGTTAAATTTCTTATGCTTTACATAAGTTTGTTCTAAAAATTAGTGTGCTTGTAAAGATGGTGTGACTATTTAGAGAGTGACTGTATAAAGAGCAGACTGTATATTCATTTCCTTCTCGAAATTTATCGTAATCCTACTATCATGAATCATGTGACTCAGCCGCGTTAGCCAGCCGACCATGTTATTTCAGCTGGCTTAGCCACGGCTGCCCTAGTCAGCTTACAACACTAACCAGAACATCCTCGTAAGCTATCATTTCGTCCTACTCGAATATTCTACAGCCGATACTTTAAAGTCATTACGGGATCTACACGTAACTGGTTTTATCATCGGAAAAGTCATTTTTAACCCGTAACGAATAACTCATGAAAATTCAACTCGCGAGTTACTCGCGAATTAAGTATATTTAATTCATTTTTAAATAAATTAATTTCATGACTCAAATAAATAATTCAATCATATGATTCAAATACTCTTCTGAGTTTAATTCACGAGTCACGAGTTGAAACGAGTCACTATGTGACAGTATAATTTTACGCACAAAGTTTAAAAAAATATATTTGTATATTTTATTTAGCTATTCTGAATTGTGCACACTCTCTAAATACACATGTATACCTGTTCTAAGCGTGTACACTTATAAAGTTGCTATTGTATTTTGTAACTGTTTAATTGAGTTTTATAATTATACATTCTTCAGCTAATGCGTTGACCTTATTTTAAAAAAATCAAGCTTTGTTTAAACATTAAAAATTACGATGATTTGTGGCAGGGATTGTATAATTACATTATTTTCGTGTGATTATGGGACGCGTTTACGCGTTTGGAGACATATCCTAAAATATGAGAATCAAGTCAAATATCCCTTCAAATGGATACGAATTTTTAAAAACAGCTAATTTCATTAAGATTGATGTGTAAAAATTATTAATGCAAAGTTTGGATATACGAAAGGTAACCGTTTTTAGCAATGCTTTTGATCTTAAAAGAATTTTTCCCAACCGTTCTAACAAAATTTTACATTTACCCAGTAATCCTAACTTCATTTCTATTTGTTAGATAAAACGCGAATAACTGAAAAGCCGAGCATTGCGAATTTATAATTGATTTTTTATCTTTACAAAAAAAGATGCTTGAGTTAAAAAGATCTCATTATATGAATTCCCGCTGCATTAGAATACGTGTAGACTTCACGAAAAAGCTTAATTAGGAAATTGCAAAAATAATCATTCTTTTTTTAATCCTACCCTATATATATATAATTTTATTTCTTATCAAATATTACAATGAATACGTAAATCATTATTTACAGTATATTATACCTCCTTAATCAAATAAGAAGAATGTTCATTCATTATTTTAAAAATGACTAAAAATTATCTTTTAAAGATTATCAAAAATCGTGGCAAGGCTGCCTATATATTTAAAATTAAGGTGGAAGTCAATAAAAAAAAAAAGTAACATTACTCAGGAACGTTCAAAAAGTTAACCATACAAACCGCAGCTTGGTTCACGATAACAATGTTTGCAGCGGGGGCTAAAACATCAACCATAAACATTGCCAAATTTGAATTACTTGCGCCTCCACAATACCCATATGAAATTGAAGAACATTCTGCAAACCACATATTTCCACCATGTTTCGACCGAGCTGGATTATTGCCCTCGCGGGTAATGCCACAAGCACCGCAAGTGGTTCCCGAACATTTAGGTGCAAGGTTTGTCAGAAATGAACCCAGGTCACACAACGTACGTGTTCCATGGTACATCTTTAATGCCCTTAATCCAGATTTCTTCTTCATTTTGAGATGTGATTTAACAATGGATTGGGGCATTTGAATTCTTAAAATCCCTTGAATCTTCGCGTTTGGCAGTCCTTTAATAAACTTTCTTTCAGCATCAATGTAATCCAAATCATTTGGATCAAGCAACGTCAATTTTGTAACTGTAAGATTTTGGCCATCAAGCCAAAAGCAATTGGGATTGCAATAAACATAAAATCTTGATAGATCTGTGGGATCTACGTATGCCCTTTTTCCGCAACCCGCCCGAACGCAAATTCGTGCACACGAGCGAGCGCACGTTCGACTACAATAGTCATAAACGACGCCATTTACATCAGAGTATTTTGGCTTACTGCAATTTGGATTATTACATTTTCCAATAATCGCAGAAATATTACGTAGATCAATAAAAGAGCATGTTCTTCCGCAATATGGATGAACCACACCGTTTGATTCGACATAGACTTTCTTATTGCAAGTAGGACGAGCGCATAACGGGTCCATTTTTTTTTTGAAACCTCTTATCTTTAAAAATTTTCTAAGTACTTTTGGAAACTAAAAAAAAAAAAAAAATTTTATATATGTTAATATTGCACGAACGATCGTGTAATTATTTGAGACTAATATAATAACCTTGAATATTATATGAGCCATCATAATTATAAAAAAATATTAAAAGAAAGAATACCATTTTATTAGACTTAGACTTTGATCTAAAGTTGAATTCAAATTTTTGCATCATCGTTACATAACCCGGTATAAGCTAATCGAGAAATTTACTACATTATATATAATTAATCAAAACTTTCCAGTTCTTCGAATCATTTTCCCGACGGTCATTTCCTATACAGGCCACTTTGCCCGACATCACTCAGGTGACAATTTACTAATAATATATACCTGCAACTAATCAAATGCTAACCTTAACCCTATGTGATGTCGGGGTAAATGGCCTGTAAGGGAAATGACTGTCGCGACTACCTTTTGTGTAGTAGTTAAAATCTCCCGATAAAGTTTATCTCGAAAAGTTAAAAAAAACTATTTCGAAAAATTTTAATGCTAATAAAATTTTAGTTAAATCCAAAGTTTAGTAATTTTAGACATATAATATTTGTTAACCGGAAAATAAATAATCACATATGGTAAAGACTACTACTGAAAATTTGAATAGATTAGTAGCGCAACCAAAATTCAGCAGATCGGCCCGAATTTAGGTCGGAATAGGCCGGAATTGATTAATTTTTTCTAAATTCTCCCAAACTTTTACTAATAAACTGGCAGCCTATATATTAAGTAAAATTGCTCAGCTACTAATTTTGCTACAGTATAGTGCTAGTATGGTTTTCCAGTATTATTGCCTAATGCCGGCCAAGCTCCGGCCTATTCTGACCCTAAATTCGGGCCGATCTGCTGAATTTTGATTACGCTACTAATCTATCCGAAAATTTTGAGTTTACGTAGAATTTTAAACATTTAATATTTGTTGTCCGGAAAATAAATAACCGCATATAGTAAAGACTACTACTGAAAATTTTGATTTGTTAGAGTCAAATTTTATAAAATTATTATAAAGAATCCGGATCCGTTAAATTTTAAATAGGAAAACAGATAACGAATCGCATCTCTAGTTAAAGTAAGTTCGTTATATATCTAACAAATTAACTAACAATACTTATACACATGGGGTGAGTCAATAGAATAATAAAAATTTTTTATAACTTTAAACAAGAATAACTTAACAAAAACTTGACTAAATTTAATAAAAATTTTTTTAAATAATTTTTACAAACTTGTAGAATTAATTTAAAAAAAATTTATTGAATTTGATCAAGTTTTTGTTAAGTTATTCTTGTTTAAAATTTTTTAAAAAAAACTTATTAAAAAATATTTGCTTGGTTTCTATTGACTCAACCCCATATCTTGATGACTACCATCTAAAATCGATGATTTTTTTGTTGATTTTAATTTTTAATTCTATAGTTACAATGGAATTAAAATAAAATATTTCATCGATTTTAGATAGTTAATCATCCGTTAAAAATTCAAAAATAATTTAGACGATTATGAAAATAAAGACTACAGCTTTGAACGATATTTTGATAACTACCCATATAAATCTGATGAATTATTTTATTTTGATTCTAGGGATTCATAGAATTAATGTAAAAAAAAATTTCATCGATTTTAGATAGATAATCATCGATAAAATTTTTTATTTTAATAGTACTTATTTATAGAATAAAATAAAAAAAATTTTCATCAAGTTTAGGCAGGTAGTCTCCTCATTTAAAAATTCAAAAAAAATAATAATTTAGACGATTATCAAAAGACAGCTGTTTTTTCCAACTCTGAGCGATAAAATCTCGATAACTACCTACCTAAAATGATGAAATTTTTTTATTTTATTCTATAAATAAGTACGATTAAATAAAAATTTTATCGATTTTAGATGGGTAGTTATCGAGGTATCCTCGAAGAAAATGGTATTAATGATCTTCGATTTCGTCCAATCAGGACGTGATGGTTCGAGTAGAATCTCATCACATGATCGATATAACCTAGTCACAGAATACCGACGTGCAGTTCAAGCAACGAGTGTTGCGAGCGAACAGATGCTCAACATAGCAGAGTTTTACGATCAGTCCGACCAGAAATCGAATAGAACCGGAAAAATTTCGCGCCTCCCTTTGTCTCAAAACTTGATATGCCATGGGTCTTGTAAAAGATACGTATAAGATATTGGGCGTACGATGAAAAATAACAAGGAATTTTTTTTCATCGGAATTAATGTCACTCCCACGTG